AGGGGTTGCACTGTGGTTGTCAGAAATGTGAAGATGCCACCCATCCCTGCAAGGGGCTGCAGTTTGTGCTGCCATCACATGAGGAGCCATCACCTGGGGGACAGCTCAGGCAGTGGGGGTCCCTGCCGGTACTCCGGGTCCTGTTTGAGACTCAATGACTATTTGGCAAACCATTACATGCTCATTCGCTATAAAATCCAATTTGCATTTTGGCCCAGAGGAACCAAGCACCTGTGATTGTCTGCACAGGACATGCTTTCCAAGTTGGCTTTTTTGGGACCTTTGAATGGGAGGAACAATGATCGAGGCACTCAACCAGATATGCACAACCAGCTTCTGCTGCAGACACCCAGTGCTGGGCTTGGGCCAATCCCATGAGTTTCTTTATGTGCTGTTTGGGGGATCATGGTTTCAGCTCCTCCATACGTGCTGGATGCTGGCACTGACTCTCGTTACGGCTATGCATAGCATAAACTCACTCCTACAATAACAATGAATAAAAGATAAGTCCCGTGGCTCTGAATCTATCTAAGTCTAATGGCTGTTCCGTGCAGTCAGGGATTAGAGGGACAGCCCGATATATTTGGCTGCTGAACATCATTTGCTGTTTACCTTTGCGGGAGGAGGACTCAGAACGAGGGCTCTAAACGTTTGCGGGGTGAGGGAACAGCAGATGAACAAAGCGAGGAGAGAAGACACAGCTTCACTGGAAACCTTGTAAACCACTGACTGCAGTAAAAGTCAATGCAGGAATTAAAAGCTGTCAGTTCAGAAAGCCATAAAAACAACATCTCTTCTTTATCTAGTTTCCCCGACTGAGCTTGAAACAAAGAGATTTTTTTTTTCCAGGAGGCGTTTCAGAGTGCTCCTTTGTGGCTCACAAACTCACACTTTGGCGAGAACATAATCCTGGGACAAAAAGCTTTTCATCTGCTCTGTGGTGAGCTCCTAAGGGGATGCACCACGTAGCATCTTTCTGAGTCATTCCAACACTCCTGAAGAAGGTTTTCCTACCATGTAGCCACAATTTAACTGCTACCTTGGCAGGCTCGATGCAAACCTCTACCTCTCTCTGCGAAGTGACCTGCTGCAATAACCACTGGAGTGGATGTAGCAAGCAGCTGCCAAGAAGCTCTCATGGGCCACAACGCATGGAAGTACCGAGGCGGGGGTGTGCATCACACACATACTTGCAAAGTGTGTGCAAGCAAGGCAAGTGTTGTTTTACGTGAAAAAAGTAACACAACACTTACTTTGAGGGAGGAGGAGACAGACAAAATGTCTCCCAGCCTGCGAGGTTTCCTCAGCACCCCAGCTCCAAGGTCTCACTGAAGGTGCACTAACAGCGAGACAACTGGGGACTGTATTTCTCTTTCATGAAAGTTTTATGCAAAATGGCACGTGCTGTGCACGCGGCCCTGGGCTCCTGCAGAAAGCTCAACGTGCAAAACTCGGCCGTGACTCAGCCCCTGAAAGGCAGCGGGCTGGATGTGAGCTCCCCTGCGACCTGGGGGAGCACCTCAGAGATTAGACTGAAACGGGATTTTCAAAACCTTCCAAGTCCACTAAGCCGTAGAGTTAGGGCCAGATATGAAGTAAGAAGCCATGGGGAGAAGCTGTAGGTGTGCTAATGAACCCGCCTTGCTGAGCTGATATTTGGAAGTGGAAGCTGAAGATCTGAGGCTGAAGCTCTCCCTGACCCCTGTTTCTCCTCTGGCAGTCATTTGAAAGCTCACGTAACTGCAGAGATGACTCAGACCTTTCAGAACAGAACGTTAAACTTAGACCCAAAGTCTGCAGAGCGTCCAAGGGTGACTGTTCACACCGGGACAGCGTAGCTGCACAAATCCCAACCCCAAGCCCACAGAGGTCAGGTTTTGACTAGCTGCTCTTCATGCTGCCTTCACTTCCAGGGGTATCAGATATCGATCCAATGTTCACACTTGCTGAGGCAGAGGAGCCTGCAGATTTCATCAACTTAGCTGCCTGCTCAACTCCTTAGTACTTGCGTGGGCTCTGCTATGAGAAATCGATGATGAACACCCATCACTTCCAATAGGAGCAAGCTAGGAACAAAATAAAGCACAACAGTAGCCTTTTAAGCAAGCTTTTAGCCAGCTCCCCAAGGATGCAGCCAGACATACTGTCTACGCCAGATCAGCTTCAAAGCTGTTAGCTGAGAGTGCTCAGGGCAGCCACAAATAGTCTGAGCTAATAAAAGAGCATCTTCCACAGCCAAGCTGCAAACTTCTGCCTACTCCTAACTATAAGATGCTGGGGCTCTTCCAAGTGTGTCCTTCTGCTTTTGAGCATCAGGCAGGACTTTCAAGAACGGATGCAGATCAAGCCTTGTGCATCCCGTTCACTTTGTTCAGAAACTCTTGCAGAAACCACCATGGTGCCTCTTGGAAAGCCATGGTCTTCTGTGCGAGAATCCCAGCATAGACTGGCATCCAGTTCCAGCTCTGCTACATGTGCTGAGCAAGGCGTTTGCTTTCTCTGTGCCTCTGATTCCTTCCCTACCATTCGAATAACTTTGCCGCTGAGTTGTTCAGGAATTGCTTCTTTCTTTGGATTTTCACTGTGCTTGCTTAGCACAAGGGGCTTTTGATTGAAGCCAGGGACTTGGGATGCTAGCGCACAACACACTGCATTAGAATAAAAAGGGTTTGCATATGATGAGGTGACAGAATGAATCGATCTGATAAAAGGCTCATAAGTCATTAATTCAAGTCATGCAAGATTAAGAAACATTTCAGCAATAACAGAAATTGTGTTAGGGCCTTAGCAATTTCAAAGAACTCTTTCTTAATTGGCTTCGCAATATTGTTCCTCTCAGCTTTTTGTTGTAACAGAGGGATGTTAGGAAATCCATGCTTTCAAAGTCACCAGTGGCTCCCAAACAAGCTTTTTTCAGGGCTGTGCAGTGTTTTCTTTACTTTAGTAATAGAACAAGCCTTCTAGGGACTCTCACATTCAGTCCGTCTTTCTACCCCAGAAAAGGAGCGTCAGCTGATATTTCAAGCTTTCATAGATCTTCTACCTGGCCAAAAACCAAAGGGATGGGGGAACAGACTGCTCAACATTAGGGACACATTAGAAATATGAAGCTGTGATACCTGCATGGATGAGGCTACCAGATAAGTCCTCTTTTGATCTGGGGTCCTTGGTCAAGGTCTGCCTCCTCAGAGGACACAAGTCCAGAAAAGATGGTCTCCAGGAGAGGTTTGCCTTCCTCATCCATCCCATAACCCATCTCTGGGAAATTTGATGTGCACCCCATAGGAGCAGTCATCCTCACAGCATGGGGCGACCGGTCCCTCAGTGGGAGGTGTACAGAAGGGACATCTCCATGAGCAAGCAAATGGACAGAAACGGCTGCTTGCTGATTTTGTCACTTCTTGCCGCAGGTTCGATAGTGCCTAGTCTTGCAACCGACCATCAGAGCAAGGGACCCGGCTAATAGGAGTTTTCATTTGTAGGAAGACCGTTTGTGAAGATTGAGCCTCCAGGCCAGGCCATGTCCTGGCTGAGACTCAAACCCCACAGAGCAGCACCTTACCTGCTGAGCTTCATTTCAAAACGCACCGCATCCATTTCCGTTTCTTCTTTCAGCTCCATCCCGTACTGCACAAAGACACAGACCTTCCCTCTCAAAACAACTGGCCGCCGACCTCCTACTGCAATGTGTCTTTGCACCAAAATCCATTACAAAACATCCTCTTCGCTTCTGGAAGCACTTTTTATGTCAAGGAGTTAAATCTTGTTACTTAGCTGGCACTAATTGCCCTTTTTTAGCACCAAAGGTTTTGATCCCCTCCTGTTTAAAAAATGATGCACCAAGGCTAAATCATTCTTGTCTTCTCCTTTCCAGACAATGAAGAAGAGAAAATGAAAAGGGTTGCCATGTTTTGCTGGCTCACTCATCGTAACTGTCTTGGTAGAGGCTTGTTAAATTCTAACAGAGGATATTCTGTTCCTGGGGTGCAAGACTGCTTTTTGTGCCCCGAAGGGATGTCACAGTGGGCTAAATGTTGGCTCTGAGCCAGGACCTTGTAAGTAGGAATAAAAACAAAGATCAGGATGATGAGAATTTAATACTGAACTCTGGCCCCAACCAAGCCCATGGCTGGGTAGCCAGTATCACTCAGCTCCAACACAAACACTTTACTGGCCACCCTTTTCCCCCCAACATCCCTGGTCTGGACCACTGCTTTCAACTCTTCGCAGTTTCATAAAGCAAACTTAAGCAGACTTAACTGAGTGACATGTTTAACTGAGTCACCCCTTTGGTCACAAAGCACGGCACTGCCAAGGACGCGTTGCAAATGCCGAACTTGAAATTCCTTCCATAAGTGATCACTCAGTGAAGAGGTCAGCTGGAGGAGGAAATAAAAATAAATAAACGCTCCGTTCAGAAGGGTTAATGGTGGCTTGGAAACCACACAGACTAAAGTCAATGTTTACCGAAGGCTGCACCAGATTCTGTGGTCGCTGCCAACTGTGAAAGCCATCACCGGGATCACTGCTCAGGGCTGAAGCACCCTGGGCTGACCGGGAGAGCCCTCGGGAGCCGACCGGCCACGCCACGCGTGCCGCTGCCCCGAAGGGAGTCGGGGCTGCACACTCTTGCAGTGGTCGCCCCATCATCCCCCCGCAGTGGTGAGGGAGACGATGGAGAGGGCTGGGAGAGCGCGGGCTGCCTTCCCCCAGCACGGAGCGGGGCTGGGGGCTGCACCAGGCTGCTCACGGGCGTTGGAGCCCTGGCACACGCGAGAGCTGGTCCAGGCGTACACTCCTGCAGCACGTATATAGCAGGCACGGGGCCCGGAGCACTGTTTCGATCACGGACTGTTCCTACAAAGGAGTGAGTTCAGCCGGGTTTGGACAATGCTTTATTTCATTTGAAAGGTATCCAGGCACCCCGTGATATCTCTGTGTGTGGTTCACTCCCGCTTTCCTTATAAAGTGCCAAGCCATTTCTTCTTTTAAAGCACTGATCATTTTGTAGTTTTCACATTTTTGATCTCCTGCAGCAGGTCAGACATTAGAGTGAGACTGACTAACAAGATCATGAAATCTTCAAAATCAATTTTGTTCTCTGACTCCTCATCCAGGGCAGAAATTATTTCCCGGTATTTTGGTTTGTTTTCTTGGCCCTATGGAGAATTTTAAATTAAAAAAAAAAAGATTAAGCATGAAGTTCCTTTTTTATTGCATCATAAGAAAGACACCTATGTAAAAATTTATGTATTTTCTATCTTCCCATTCAGGTTTTTATGTCTACTTCGCGTTAGTTTTTCTAAAGTTATCCCAAGAAACTCAAACAAAAATATTATTGCAATCAGACAGGAGAACAACCAGTCCGCAAAGTTTCCACCTGAATTCAGAATACAACTTTTAAAAGATACCGAGTGAAAATCTGGCAGAGATGAACGTAGCTGGTAACTGCTGGAAAAAAACCTGCAAGAAGTGTAGAGCCCCAAGTGCCAATATAGCTGTTTTTCACCATACCCGGCTGCCACCAGCACCCTGGGTAGGTGATCGATGGAGAGACGCTTTCTGCTCCTTCTCCCAGCGGCCCCACCAGTGACCGCAGCGCACGCAGCTCCGCGGCTCGGGGCTGGCTCTCCTGGCACGGGGTCAGCGCTCTGGCAAACTACCAGACGCCTAATAAAATACAATGGGTTTCTTCTCTTGATAAATGCTGTCTCTTATCATCGTCTGAGGTTTGCTTGCATTTTGGTTTTTTTGGGGTGCGGGGTTTTTGGGGGGGGTTTTTTCAAGTGCCCTACTTCGTTAACAAAAATGCAAGCAGGTGCATCAACTGTGGTTTATTGCTGCCCCCGCTCCTCGACCCTGCATTACACACAGGCTCAACATAAAGCAACTGATTCACTGAAGACGTTTGTACCAAATCACTGAAGTCTCACATGGGATTACCCCGTGGACTGACGCCCGCCCAGCTGCAGGACGGAGCCCGAGGTGCCGTTTCTGCACCCAACGCGCCCGGCCGGCGCCAGCCCAGCACCACCCGCTCACCCAAACTCCCTCACCTGTATGAAACCCCCAAACTGGGTTTGCAGCAGGCTTTTGGTTTCAGCTTTGCTGAGCTTGCCCTCGGGGTCAGCAGAGTTGTTATACACCAAAGCCGCGGTGGCAAAAGCTTTTTCAAGATCTGAGACTTTTCCTAGAGCTGGGGGGAAGTTATCATCCTATCAGAAAAAGTGGCATTTGAGATATAATTGAAAGGAATCTGTCAGAACCATCTTGAGTGGGTGGAAATCTGTGTAATTTCATTAAAGTTAATGAGACTGAAACTGTTTATACCCACAGAGGACCTGGCCCAGATTTTGAGCCAGCAACATGCCTCATGTCCCACGGAAACACACCCCAAAAGGGAGCTTCCAACCACAGCTGGGGCGCGCAGCAGCGGTAACGCAAGGTGATGTGCGAGACCCCTCTGGTCTGCCCCCGTCCTGGGTACCCAGCAAGGACCTGCCACGCCATGGGGACAGGCCATGCCGGCCATGTCCTGGGTGCGTTTGGACTCCCCGGATCCCGTATCACGGAAAACGTGGCCCGTTTGGGAAGCCTGGCTGAACAGAAATGCCCGTGTCTGAGCATCAGCACTGCACTTCAGCATTAAGGTACACGGGGGATTTTGGTTGGATTCATTCCCCCCATTTCTCAGCCACATCCTAAAGACTGCCCGCTCGCAGCCCTCAGTTAGCATCAGGCACCACAGATGATTTGGGTCATGGCTTTTAACGGAAAGGCAAGCAGAAGAGGAGACGTGGATCAATGCAGGAGCATGTTGCACAGGGACCCACGAGACCCTCTTGTCTTGCAGCGGCCAAGGGTCTGCACAGCCTCCGCAGCTCTGCTAAATCACCAGGATTTACTGCACTTGGGCTGTGGCCTTGGGAGACCTGAAGCCCCAAGGGACAAGGAATGGGTCCCCTTACCTTTTATTGAAGCCAGCTGCTTGGCTATAGGGATGCTGGTAGTGAGAGAGAAGAGAGGCACAGTTACCACAATTGTCTGTGTATATATAGTTTCTCCGTGAGAGAGCTTGCTCATTTCTTTTTCATTTAATCCCCCAGGAACTCAGGGCTTCCCAGGGAAGACCGGCTTTCCTTCACAGTGGAAAGGAAAATGGCCGTTACAAGCAGCACACAGCATCACACAGCTCTTAATTCTTCACTTCAGCAAGTAGCCTGCAGTTGTTATTAAAGGTGCATAGCAAATAATTTTAAGACAGGGGCATTGCAACATCCTTCAAGTGATTTCTTCACAATATGAGAGAGCTCGAGGAAGTTTCTCCGTTTTTAAGCTCATCCCCAGGGAGGCACAGAAGGGTCTGTCATCCCCGCTCACCACTGCTCCCGTTCCGTGCAGACACGTATTTCCAGCCCGACTTACATCTGTGGGAAGCACTCCCCGCTTTCTATTAAAATGTAAATCCTGCTTGCTTTTGCTAAAGCCTGGAAACTAACTACAGAGCAGCCAACACACAGCAGAAGGGCTTGCTTGTGATCGGGACAAATACATCCAGATAACGAGCTTCAAGACCAATGGCAGATCCCCAGAGGTGCAACCAACAAAGGGATGACTTACCGCTTGGGCATGCTGGCTGCAGCCAAAGGGCTGTTTTTGGTGGGAGCGGGCTGGTTGACCGAGTACTGCTTCGTGCTGGGAACGCTCGCTCTGCAGCCACACATCTCGAGGCCGGGGTGTTTGTGATCTCTAAGCAACTGGAGCAATAGCAAACAGGTGAATTCAAGCTCTGCCCTGTGAAAGCAGCCTGCCTGCAGCCGTGCCCTGTGAGTAATGTAAACGCTACCTGGGGATCATGGAGCCGGCGAAATACATCCGTCTAAAGCAGCCCCGCTGGGTTGGCAAGTAGCATGGCTTTTATTTTATATCAGAATTTGACAGAAACAAACCAAACTAATGGAGCCTGAATCCTCTTAGATCTGTTAGGGATGTAACTTTGCATGAGGAATAACTAAGACACGGAATCCATTCAGCTATACACATTATCATTTTAATGGTAAACCTTTCTAGCGTGGACTAACGTAACTTGCCCCAGGCTATAATGTGAGTTGTATAGGCAGTCAGAAACCAAGCGTTTCCCAATTCCTGACCCAGCATTTTTCCCAGGTGAGCACACTGCTGCTCTAATATCTATTCCCCAGGCGCGGTGCGAAGAGGAGAGCCGTTCTTCCTCCGAACCCCTTGCAAAGCAGCATCCAGCACGGAGCCTCTGCTCTGGTTTCTACCCGAACGGATACTGCCTGCTTCCAAAAGCAGCACGGAGCCATACGGCGGAGCAGTCGCACATTAGAGGAACTGGAAGGGCTCCGATGAACTTTGTTGTTTATTGGCATGGATATCGCTATCAGAAAACACACAGCTTGTCACGCTGCCTCTCTCTGTGCATGGTCTCCTTTCTGTGGATCCTTTGCTTAGAGGTGTCTAGACAGGATAACTTTGACATAAAAGACCAAGAGCTCGTTTTGATCCCAGGGTGGTCTGTTAATAGGTAGCGACTTCAACTACCTCACCCAGCTCATCATTCCTGGAGAAAAGATATAATACTGGTGTTAAAACTACCCAGGATGAGACTTTATGTAACAGGACATGCAAAGGAGACTGCAACAGATGGCCTAGAGAATTAAAATGTTTTCCTCTTTAGTAGAAGCTAAATTACTGAAGGCTAATGAATGAGGATGTTCACCACCTTACTGTTCCTGGATTTTAATTATCTTAAAAAGCATGGGAAAAGAGAACCTTTAATTTTCCATCGAAGAGTGTCATTACTCAAACAATTCAGAGTCTTTTTCTGAGAGGTTTAAGCTGTCTTAGATCTCTAGCGCGTTCTTTAGGACTGGCTCATGAATAAAACAGAGCCTGTAATTGCAATGACGCAGCCAAAACACATATAATCAATGCTCATTATCCCATCAATTAACACACTAAAATTAAACAAGAATTCAGGCTTAGTAGTCTGCCATCAGCTAAAAAAAAAAA